CCAGGGACCCCGGGGCTCCATATCTCCTCAAACGTAAGTCCCTCAACCTCTACTGGTCCGTCCGAAAGTATCGGTCATCTTTTCGGGTTCCTCAACGCTTCGCCATCCTGGAACAACGGTGCACGGTCACTCGGCTCGGGTGACCGGAACTTGGGATTTACGTTCACGGAGCATTCTCCGTTCACCACCCAAGAGAATGTTATCACGTTCCATATTCCCAGCTCCGGCTCTCGAACCAGGGCAGCTGCGGATGCCACCTGAATTTCAGGTTGCATCGTCACAACCGCCGCTCTGCACCCTGGTCTTTCACTGTGAGACGAAGTGACAGACATCGTGAACGCAGACGCCCTGGACGTAAGAGCACCCCGAATCGCAGAATTGTCAAAAGACTGCCAAAATTCGAGACCTTTCTTCGTCCCCGCAATATCCAAGAAATTCCTACTGTCGTATCTTATTCGTTCTGGAAGCCTCTGCCAACAACGCAACCGAAACTCCAGACATTCGGCAAAATGCCTTCAAACGCAGACTCCAAGCTTCCACAGGCGTCTTCGCCCACTCACACTCCGGCGCATACTCCGCCAGGGGCCGTTCCAAAACTGCATCGGCCATCTCGGATCAGTGCGCCGAGTGGTGACGCATCACGTGACGACCCTCCGGTAACTGACGTGCCAGTGATGGACACACCTGTCTGTCCGCGCGGTGAGACGGCTCAAGATCTCGGTGGGAATCTCGGTGAGACGACTCAGGATCGCGGTTAGACGGCTCAAGAACGCGGCGCCCCTACTAAGCGTCTTCAAGTGGTGGGCCTATTGCGTGGGTCCATCTCTGACTCAGACCGTCCTAGCATTTCTGCGGTCGACGATTTCAACGCGCGCAACGCTGCGCTGAACCTGTTGTTAACGTGGCTAGCTAAGTCTACATTCCTCACGGAGTTAGACGCGGCTGATACCAAGGCTCGCTCCGTCGTTGCTGCCACTCCTTTGGCGGCTGGTCAAGTTCCTCCCGTTCAAATTACATCGGCTCCAAGCTACTCGCCTTGCTCCACCACGCAATTCGTCGGTGTGCCTGCCTTCGACGTCGATCATCTGGGTAATGTGCTCCTACGCTCCGGCTACGGCGGTCTCGACAATCTCGTCGAGATCGAACACTTGAGCGTCCAGGATAAGGCCGACCTGTCGAAGTTGCTTATCGAGGACCAAGACATTCAACGGGAGTTGTTGGTACCTCGGGATACGTCGGTGGAGTTAAGCCCGAGCGACTTCCGAAATTTGGTTACTGGCACTCCAGCACAACGTGAGTTGGCAGCACTCTTGCGGGTTTATGAGCCTCAGGGTCTGGCTCGCAGAGTATTCGGGATGTCCACGCTCCTGAAGCGCATGTTAGACAAGCATCGCGTCTCTCTGGTATCTTGTACGCTGGGCACCTCCAAGACTACCCTCGAATTGGGCAATTCTTCGGACAAGGCTCGCTGTGCACGAGACTTCGCGCTCCTAGAGAAAGCTTTTAACCAACAAGTGGTTGAGATTTTGGAGCAGGCTCAGAGTCGGCTCTCCGAAAGTGACCGTGATTTTCAGCGTGCCGCAGAAGAGCACAACCGCCAAGAACAAGTGCTTCGAGATGAGAACGCCGAGTTACAACGCCAGATTGAGGACTACCGCTTGGTTAATCGGCAACTTGAGGACCGACTCCGGGGTGGAACATTCAAGGTTGGTCGCGTAATGAACTTCCTAAACCACCATAACACTCGGGTTAGCGGCAATTGGCCGCGCCTGAAGGCATTGCTGGAGAAATCCAAAGATGGATCACTTCCATCTGACGCCTCGAAGTCGTAGACCCAGATCAATGCGGCTGACGAATTCGACGCCGACCCGGGCGCTTACGAGTACGAAGTGGAGAGTGCCGATGAGGAATCTAAGGTTCCTGAGACACCCAAGCCTTCGATCACCCTGAAGGTCTCCAACGGACCTCACACAGCCGTCCTCCACTAAGTCCACCGCGGCCAAGATTCAACGCAAATTGTTCAGCGGGTCCAAACCCAAGGACCTCACGGATTTTCAGCTTCGACCCAGTACTTACACCCCGAGCACAACTGACACCCTGGATCCCACGGCAGCCAAGCAGCTCTCCGTCACCAAGGCACGCGAGAGCCTGACTCAACCTGTCATTTGGGATAAGCTTCGTGCAGATATCCAGGAACTTATGCGGTCACACATGTCTTACGATGAGGCTCTTGTTGCTGCTCGGGCCGACGCTGAGATTCACTCTCACCTGGATGCTCGACATCTCGTCTCCATGTTGATGCGCATCATCTACTGGAAAAGTCTCGATAAGACTCCTTGGGTCAAGTACGTCCCGTGTTGGTGCTACAAGGAGGCTGAATCCAAGCTCGCGAAGGTCCTTACCTCGGGTGAAGTTCCCACTCGTTGCCTAATTTGCGTAAGGCCATCCAGGATGACGCTGTGGAAATTATGGCAGCACTTTATGACAGTGTCACGGAAGATGAAGACGATGAAGGGCGTGATGCAACCTTCTCACCAGGTGATGATGGTCAGAACAAACCTCAGCGTCGTACTACTCCTCCTCGGCAAGCGAAGCGTGGTGGTGACACCACTTCGGATTCGTCATCCAAGAACAAGCCCAAGCGTGCGTCGTCTCCACCCAAGAAACGTGCCAAGTCAGGCAACGGCAAGAAGTCGCGTCCAGGACAAGAACGAAAGCAAACGGCTCTGGCACGCAAAAGTTACGACTCCATGAGCGACTCGGAGAAATGGATCGTCGAAGCACCCGGTCGTGGCATCCTTTCGTGGCGCCATCACGGTGTATTGATGAAGTTTCCTCCTGGCACGGCTAATGCTGTAACGCAGTCGTTCGGGTTCCCGGACTACGCTCCGAATTTGACCAAGGACGAGGACGTTCAAGCACTGCGAGAACGCTGGGATTCAGTCGCATTCAAGGAGCTTATGGACACGAAACCTTAGAACGTCATGTTTGAAGATCGTTCCAAGTTTCTGATCCTTCACGTGCGGGACGACCTGAGGGTCGTTGCTCGCGAGTCTCTGGATGCCATAGTGGCATTTATGTCTGTGCATCGCCATGCGATTTGATGGCTCGGACACTGGGTATTCATCGATCTGGAGACCGATGATCCTTACTCTGTGGAACTTCACCGCGAACGCAAGGCCGAGTGCGACGAGGCCAAGAAAGAATACAAGAAGCTCCTGCACGATCGTGTCGATGCCGGTCTTGAGGAAATGATTCTGGATGAGCCTGGTTCTTGGACCATTCCTGCCAAATGCTGTCACTGGATACTGATGCATGAGTCGCACGTCAAGGACGATGGCACTCACTACACCCTGAATGAGCAGATGGAACTCCTGGATGACCAAGAGCCAGCACGTGTCCAGTGAAACACTTGAGCCTCGGATGAGTACCGAATCAAGCATCTCCCGGAGGACTATCCATTGAAACTCCTGAAAGGTTCACAGCGCTAGTCGCAGAAGAACCGCGTCACCATGGATTTCGACTAATTGACTCTTCCAGAACAATTTTGCGTGTTGCATGTCAGAGCATTAGCGTTAACATCCAGAATACTACTGACATTCACATCTTCAATGTTCACTGTCTTCTGTCCATCGTATCACAGTCGATGCTTTTCACACCATCCTCATATCCGATCTTCGCTTCACAGTTCATCAAGTAAATTCCACATTCAGCATCCTGAACATCTCCACAACACTTCTCACGAATCATACAAAACCATAATCAGTTCACATAGTTCAACGGTCTAGGGTCGTTCAGGTAATGTCATTCGGGTTGACTACACTCTCGGGTGGTCATCCCCGGCCTGCATCGCCTGAAAACGAGCTCGTGCTCGCGTCCCTTTGTTGAATTCATACAACAGTGATCCACAATTGAGCTGTGTCACCGGAATCCACTCTGGGTTATCATACCCCTTCCATTTGACGAGGTATTCTCGAGATCGCCTCGCAGTTCGGGTGCGTTTCACCCATCGTACATCCTCAATTGATTCCACTTCAAACACATCATTCGAGCTATCCGGCTCCCAACTGTCCTCAGGCAATAGTGCTGCATCGAAATCATCATCATCTGCAACCCCAACCTCAACTGTCGGTCTCTTTGGGAAAACTACTCTCGGCTTGAGTCGGCTAATGTGTACCCAAGGGTTAACACGATAACCTGTGTCTTTCACCTTCAGTCTCACGGAAATCATCCCGAATTTCGTCGACCCTGAATGGCCCATGCCACATATGTGCTAGCTTCCGACTCAATCCAGTCTGGACTTTCGGGATGTATAACCAAACAGAGTCGTCCTTCTCAAAACCAGCCTTGACCCTCTCTGAGAGTTCCAACCACTTTTGGGTTTGTTCGTCTGAGCGCATCTTCTTAGCCTTTTTCTGGAGATCCTCAGCGCAAGCAAGTGCGTAGCGATATTCTCGCTGCAGCTTCCGTCGACACTCATAGGCGCTGCGTTCAGGAACGCTTGAAGGTTTTGGTCCCAACATTGCTGAAACCGTACTTCGGGCGTCTCAACCATGAACCAAATAGAAAGGGGTGTCCAGTCTAGTCGCGTCGAACGAGACATTCAGGGCGAACATCAGTCGCTCAGCGTGATCATCCCAGTCGGACTGATCCATCTCGGTGACGTATGCTCGAACACTCTGAATGACCGTTTGTACAGATCTCTCCTGCTGCCCATTCGCTTGTGGGCGGTATCCGAGTGTAGCACGTTGTCAGCTACCTAAGAGGTCTCGGAACCTTGTGAACACTTCACTCATGAACCGCGGGTCCTGATCGTCCGTATCATGGAAGACGCCCCGAATCTCTGGAACACTTGTTCTTCATATGCCTCTGCGACATCTTGAGCGGTAGTAGACGACATGGGTTTACACATCACATATCCTGAAAACATGTCTTGAAACAACAAGAGTAAAGTATTCCCTCTGGTTGGCTCGGGCATGTGAGTCACGAAATCCATAGAAACTGCCTCGAATGGACACCGTGGTTCGATATCTCCTGGCGAAGGTCCAGCGTTCGGGGGAGCTTCTTTTCCACTGGCGCAGTCCACACATTCCTTCACAAAATGTTGGACGTCCGTACATGCTGGGCCAGTAGAATTCGGTACGTAGCTTCTCATGAGTCCGGGTGATCCCTTGATGTCCGCCTTGAAAGTCTTCATGCGCATGGTGCAACGTGTCTTCCCGAAGTGAAATCGGGACTACCAGTCTCAGATTATCCACGGCGTCTTGTGGTCTTCCGCGAATAGAGTGTGGAAGTCTATGCAATATTCCTCGATCATCCAGAACGAACAGATCTGCGACCGAACTGACCTTCTTGAGGCGTGTGGATGAGAACCTGTCCAGGTCGTCATTTAGGAACGCCCTTATCTCTGCTAGATACTCATCTTCCTCTTGATGAACCTTAATTCGGCTCCAGCGTTCGGCTTGAAATTCGAGTGGTCCCATGGGCGGGACCTCGTCATTGTCAACTTCTTGAGCTCGCGACCTCGTGAATACAGCCATGACTCGGGCGGCAGAAGATAGAGGGGCACATTCAGGGACAGGACCATGTCTCGTTCCTGAATTGCCATCTTCTTCACCAGATTCTTGTACGGGATCTCCACTGTGAACTC